TACTCATATTCATAAACTCAAGGTAATAAAGAGGAAAACTCATAAGAGCAATTACCATGAAAATATTTATAGAAAAGGCACAGGGAAGCTACATTACAGCAGTGAGGAAAGGGACTGAAACCAAGATGCCAGATCAGGACTGATAACATTGCAGATTCTTCTTTGGATTTTATAAAGAATCTCTAATCTACACAGCAGAAGAACCAGACCAGATTTAAAAGCAAAATTCAATACATGGATAAATGACAGACTTATAAATGCGTAAGATAGATTCTGGCAAGAAAAATTGTCTAGCGCTACACAGTCAACTTTCCTAGCAGCATATCTAGCAATTGATTTAATATAATCTTTCCATTACATGTCAGCAGAAAACATTAGCCAGAAAAAGCAGGAGTCACTCTCCTGGAGGTTTGCATCAGCCATGTTGAAGGAAAGCAAAAAATGTTCCCTAAGGCCATTAAAAGAGAGCAGTTTGGGTTTGGAGGTGTTAAAATTAACAAGCCATTCATTGCCCCAGTTCACAATAGATTATAGGTCATTTTTGAGACCAGTTGTCAATTTGATCTAATTGAACTGATCAAATTACCATTAAGACAGGTAAAGTAGTTGAAGACAGTAAATAGTTGTACAATCAGCATAGATAGAGTTGAGAACTGATGACATTGAGAAGGTTGTTGCTGAAAATTAAGAACAATGTATGTCGAATGTGACACACCCACAATAATGCAAAATGATCTAGAAGGGCCAGTCAAGAGAAAATTTATTTTACAACTTAATAAAAAAGAATCAAAATCAGATCAAAATTTCATCCAGAAATACAATAACTTGTGAAGAAAATGTTAAATTTTTGAGTAATCCACACAATTTAACTCTTCTATAGATTCTGATAGGATTCTGCTCAGATGAAATGATAGGGATGTTTTTACTAAGGGATATCTGTTTTCCATGTGAACTGAATACAATAAAATACCTAAGGCTGCTCTATCTGAAAAATGAGTGAAAGTGATTTACACTGATTTAAATGATTTGCTAGAAATATTTAACAGTTTAGATAATTATTAAATTGTTAAGGTTTTTTTTTAGTTTAAATTCTCTTGCTTTTTACTGTAACTTCCAGATCATAATTCTATGATTGTTAAGTAATCAATACAAATTGGAAATAAAGAATAAACATCTGAATCTTACATCTTGGAAGAAAAACAAGTTAAAAAAAAAAAAAAAAATAACAATGACTTCATTTTAGAAATAAGAATATCTATTCTGATAATATTTGAATTAATAAATTTTGCTGAATTTTGTTATATGAGTGAGGGTAACTTATTTGATTCCCAGTGCCAGAACTAAATATGCAATAACCAAAATAAATTTCATGGCAAGTGCATTTAGAAAGACTAGATAATAACCCCAGCAATGCATAAAAAATACTGAATGGGATTTATATCTTTACAGATTAATTGGTTTTTATAACTTAAACCTTTATGGGCTATTTAAAGCCAAAACATATTTTGAATTATAATTTTTTTTCTTTTTTGAGAGCAAATATTGCATTAACAATTTTTGAAAACAATAATTTTCTAAATACATGTCTGTTTAACCCATAGCTAGGGAGAGAAGATGGGATTGATACTTTACCCCAAAGGTACTTACACATAAGCGATTATAACAAACCCAAATGGAATTTAAACTTGACACTCAAATTTTTCATTCCACTATCCATTACACCACCCACACATGCCTACAGAATAGGAGCAAAAAGTTGAGTAAACAAGTCTATTATGGAAGCATTAACCTTTTCCAGATATTTTTTTATTTATTAGAGTTTACTTTTACAGGCATACAAGGTGATTAACAATATGAGGGAGAGCTGAAAAGTTCTGAAACCAACTAAGAAACCAAAAAAGTCTGATGTTTAGACATTTGATCAGATTTTGGGAAAATCCAAAAGGTCAAATAATCTACCAAATCCTAGACCCTACCTTAATTTAGCTTCCATTACTTTAGTGGAAGATTCAAGTTCCTCAGGTCTTTTGCATTTTGGCATTGTCTGTTGGTGTTGGAATGGATCTGTTTCTTCTTTCTTGAAAGACACTTGCATATTAACAATGTTCTTGCCATTCTGCATAGCTTTGACAAAACGGTTGCAATAGGTATTTCCATCACGAACATTTACCACATGGTAATCCACATTTCCTTGCTGACCTGGAAACAAACAAAAATATTGCAGAATGCAAGGAAAAAAGGAAATTACTCTCATTGATATTTACAAAAATTAAAATCACAAGATTATATGGAGAGGCAATGAAATAGGGAAGAAAGATTGTTACACTAAACTTCCAAATCAAGAAATTGTGCACCAGCTGTGAAAATCTGAAAACATCAGGTTTGAACACACTCAATGTTAAGTATTACAGTGATGATGAGAAGGTGACAAAAGAATTCTCAGCCAGACCAAGAAAATAGATGTAACCAGTTTTGTAAGTGGGTTGGGCCAAGATCTTTTCTGTGTCTTCTGTTATATCTCTACACAGCCCAAACCCCTAATCAGAGATATTTTACACTTAGTGAATCATCTCTATTCTATCTCTCTGAAATATAGTTTATTCACTCACTCTCTTTCAATCTGTTATTGTAGTCGCTAACTATAAGAACAATCAGGTCAGACAGGCTGATGATCTACAACAGGTTCAAGCGAGATCTAAAAATAGCTTCTCACACACATGAAGAATTACATGATCAAGTATGAAACATTAAGTGGGAAAATAACAAAAGGAATTAGTTGGTACTAGAGTCTTAAGCAAGTAACATCTCTATTACTTGTTACCGTCAAACAAAGGAAATCACAAATGAAGACAAGTTCCAATTCAACTCGACACACTATGCTGCATATATCAAATGCACAAGTGAATTACTAAGTGTAATAATCATTTAAGACATGCATGTGGGACCCACTCAATTGGATGCAGGTTATGACTTATACAGTGCCAAATCTTCCTACCTGAATGATGAATTCCGGATTGCCAAATGTGTGAAGAAAAGAATAAATGACCAACATTTGAGGTCAAAACTCATAACAGTGAAGAAAGAATAATATATCAAAAGATATTGCTGCACAAGTGAAATGAAGTGAACTGAAAGTAAAAAGAACAAAAGAGTAAAATAAAGAAAAAGAGAGAAAAGGGAAAAAAGAAAACCATTTCAGGAGAATGAGTAAAGCTAAGTGGGCTTTGACTATTCATATCAGATATATAATGCATACATCTTCCTACACAGAAATGTATAGAAAACATCTTTCCACACACTATCTTGCATTAATGTTTTCATGTCTTGTTTTGTTATTATTAAATCTTATTAAATTATATATTGGTGTTTGTTGTTCATTACTATGAGTTGTTGTTCCTCATCCATGTGTTTTTGACCCTGTAAGAGAATCCATCCACTACATCTCCTTGGTTATCTCCTTTGACAGCAAATTGTTGTTTTTTTTTTTTTTCTCTTTTCTTTTTAAATATTGTGTTGTGGCAATAAGTCCATAACACTCCTCATAAGCAATCTGTCACAAAACTATAAGTGTGGGGCACTAAGTAAAGATTAAACCCCAACATCATGGAATTCTTATTAACTACTACAACCACTCTCTGGTAGATACTAAAGATGCCAAATTAGTTACCTCCCATAAACTAAAATAATCACAATGACCAAAATTCAAATGAAATTTAATTTTAAAAACCAAGCTTACATGAACAGTGTAGTGTAATGGTTACTGTACAAGTCGTGCAAGTTATTGTTAATTAGATTGTTCCTAAGTTGGTGTATTATCGCCTTGTACCCAAATTGTCTACATTCAATATATTCTTGAAAAATACTTGCAGCTTTAATAGAATATAGGAATTTATCTTAATTACTTCCAACATTTAAAAAGAAAAAAACTATACTTGCTATACTATATCTATGGTACCTATAAAAATCTAAAACATATATATATATATATATATATATATATATATATATATATATATAAATACAAATATAGGTAACTATACTCGTTTCGAAAAACCTTCAAATTTTTGATTTGCCATTAATCAAATCAATCTCGAGGAAAAAAGGTTTTAAAAAAGAAAGAGCTAGAAACATGAACGTCTGTTGAAAAAAAAATCGCACAGATACAGAATTAAGACGAATTTTCCAGTTTATTTTGTCATTCCACCTTTATGTTCATATTTTAACATCCCCTCCCTGTTTAGTTGTTGAATAAATCTTAAGATCATATTAAAACATGAAACTAGTAGGTTTTCCTGTAAATATAGTGTATATATATAAGATATATATATATATATATATATATATATATATATATATATATATAAGATATATATATATATATAATTATTTATTTAAAAATATGATTCCATCTAGCAACATAAGAGGTTTCTTTTTTGGAATAACTTATTTCAGAAATTTACGTGTTTTAATAATTGAAATCAAAATTTCCATGGTAACAGCTAGGGCGAATTGTTTAAATTGGGTAGGCGTGTGTTGGGTGTTAATAATAAGTATCAGTATAGACTCTATACTAGAGAGTTACTTTCATAGATGTCAAGTCAGGGTAAGATGGGGGTGTGTCTAAATTTGAAACAGAAGATGTTTTAGCCTAGTCTGGCTTACGTGTCTACGGAGATTTATTTATTTTATTTCTTTATGAAAGGGATTTGTATAAAGATATATATATATATATATATATATATATATTCTATCGTTGAAGCCCTCTCTGTGTAAACAGAAGGACTTTGTATTAGGCCTCCAACTAATTACCATCTAAACATTTTTTTCTCCAATACACTTTGTCCATTTTTTAGTAATAATTAAGTTTATTAACCTCGATTTAGCTCTGTTGAGTGAGGTTCGAAACCAGTTAGCTAGCCCATTTTTTAGTTTTACTTTTTATTATCATCATGAGTGGTAAAAATAAAAATAATTTTTGCCTATTTATGGCAGTTATATACACACACACATATATATATATACTAATAATAAACATACATTTTGTTCCTCACCAATAGCATATATATATAATATATATATATATATATATATATATATATATATATATATAGTTTTAAGCTATTTTATATTTGGGTTAAAGTGCTCAATTTCAGAGATAAGCTGTATGTAAATATAAGTGGACATTGACATCAACACCCAGCAGCGACAGTCTGTTTTCGGCTTAAATATGAACATCAGGACATGGACTGAATAATATATACCATTTTTTTGCCTTTTAAGTCATTTTAGTTGATCATTTCCATAAAAAACCCAACCTTCAGCCCAGCTTTCATGGCCATTCAATGTAGCTCTACATCTATCATTAAAATTACTGTCAAGACATCAGTTTTAATGTACTTCTTCATCCAACTTAGGTTTCTCATCATGATATTTATAATTTGTAAGTTGATGGCTTTCACGTCTTTAACCAATGTTCTTATTGTTCCATATTTTTTTCTATCGGTTTATCTTTGCAGCATCAGTTTTTGCAAATATTTCCTTGTAGGTCAAATGTAAAAATAGTGGGAAGTGGAGTAATGTTTTTGGCTAATATTATATTGAGCATCTTCCTCATGCATATTACCCAACCATTTGGAAAAATGCAATTTTTTATTTCATGTTGAGTGATTTTAAGAGATGTCGGAAATGTTAGGGTATTTGACAGATAATCAATTTGATTAATCTGTTCAAATTCCCAAAACATTCAATAACACAAATAAATGTGTAAATAAGAACTAAATCAATATACCACTTACCTGCATTCAAAAAGTAATTATGAAGACTATGAACAAAGAAATCATCATTGACACTGCACACTGCCGCTCTCAAAGCTTGACCTAATAAAGAGCCACCAAATGCAAAGTTGCACTTTGGGTGGACATACAATGGATTTCCTCTGCAAAGCCAAAGAAATACATTTTTAGAATGAGGCAAAATGGTGAATGAATTGATTGCATACAATTAGAGATTGTTAGTAATATTAATTTCAGAATTATAGACTTTTATTCCTATCAGTAGAACACATGCCAAATGTGTTATTTGGAAGAAGGGATGATGCATGGTTGTCCTGTTTGGCTAAAAACAAATACAATAAGCAACAGCCAACTACAAGACAGTCTGTGAGTAAAATGGTAAGCATTTTCTCTGATAAGAAAAAGTGTGAACTGGTAAATCATTTTGAAACATTGATTAGTGAAGAGGTTCAATTCTGTGCCACTCTTGATGAATATACATCCATCAAAAATATAAGATACATGAATATTAATGTGTATCACAAAGACAAGTATTGGTCCTTGGGTTTGGTTAAAATTCTTGGAAGTCCTAATAGTGTCAAAATCATCAAAATTTTAAAAAAGAGGTTAGCTTTTATTGGCCTTGATTTTGATAAATACATGTGTACAACTGACAGCACCTCAGTCATTGATAAAGTTTGGAAAAGAATCAACAGCAATTTCTTCAGTTTTGTACAAAGAGAAATTGCAAAGTGACCAGCATGAGAAGGATATTGGTAAAGAATCTGAATAATCAGTAGAAGTCAGTGAAAGTGAAGAAAGAGGGGGAAGAAAATAAAGCTACAGCTACTGTTTATTCCAATGAAGTTTCAAGTGAAAAGGAAGAGGAAGCAGATGAAGAATTAAAAAATTCTTTTTCTAATATCTTGCTTCTAGAACTGTAGAAAAATATCAGCATACAATTACTTCAAGACAACTTCTACGTTATAATAAATAAAGTTACAAGAATTTGTCAAATTTTTCAGAAGTCAATGAAATAAAAAATGAGAAGCTCCAAGATTTTGTGAAAAAACAGTTTAACAGGAAAGAACTCAGAGCTAATACTAAACTGCCAGATGTAATAGACTTTTAAGCATGATAAAAAATTTCTTAAGCTGAAACAATGCATCCCCAAATCATTGAGAGTAATTTGTTTCACTGAGATAATCACATCAAGAGTGGGAAATTTTGGAAGACATCAATAATATGCTTTTTCCTTTGAGCTTTTAAAGGCCTGTGTTCAGAAAATGCAACACTTCTGACCTCTAAAGTTTCCTTCAAGTTCATTATAAAGAAACTTTCAGAGAAGAATACCCCACTATAAAATCTATTAAAAGAAATCTTGAGTAATTATTATTCCTCAAGAAGACAAAAAGATATTGTAGGTTTACTTAAATACCTTCATGACCCTAGAACTTTGAAAATTCAGGATGATGATCTTTTTTCACCTCCTTCAAGAAAACTACAGATAGACTTTTTAAAAGGCTTTTTTTAGAAAATAGTGCACAGTTGGACCAGCACGAAAAACAAAGTGTAAGTCAAAAAGAACCTGCTCTAACGATACAACCAGAATAGAAGCTGGAAAAAAGGCAAATGTTGACCCATTGCTCAGAGAATATTTGCAAGAAATAAAACAGTTAGAGTCAATTCCACCAGAAAAAGAAACTTCAGCAACTTTTGATGTCAACATGAAATTCAAGAGCTTTGAAGTATCTTTAAAAAAACAGAAAATCTAGACAAATTCTATCAATTTCACTTTCAATTATGCTTAAAATTATATAATCTGAAAGGGCATTTTCAGCAGCAGAGTCGTACCTCACGAAATTGAGATCAAATCTTTGTAAAAATTCACTGAATAGTTCTTTGCTTTCTTAAGTCTTCATATCGAAATGAAAAATAATCTGATTAGTTTGCTTTTCACCAAAAGATTATGCTATTTCTCTTGTATTAGTAAGATCTTGATTTTTATTTTTTTAAGAAATCTTTATTTTCATTTAAAGATATATTGAATTAAGAATATATATATATATATATATATATATATATATATATATATATATATATATATTACTTAATGAATGTTTGTTACCATTATAAAATTATTGTTTGGGTTGAATAAAGTTTTTCACATATTAGTATAAAAAACATATTAGTATAAAAACACAATCTTAAAATTTAAAAATTCAACCTCAGCGTTGCGACCGCACGCTACAAAATTTCTTACAATTGACAATAACACATTTCTAAAAACATATTTTTGGATTATATCTATTCTTTCGTTGCCCTGTTATTACCAGGATGTAAAAAACAAATATATTTCCATACCTGATGATGTCTGTATGCACAGATGAAAGCATGTAAAAAAATAAAAAAAGACCTGCAACTGGAATTTATAAACAGGGATCATAACATTCATCCACAGGTTTGTGGTTAATGTAATTTATCAAATTTGTTTGCGAAGATGGATTCTTGCCATTTATATCATTAACTTCAATATCTGATTTTTGTATGAATGATTCATGTAATGTAAATTGAACTGCACCACGTACTTGATCTATCTATATATATATATATATATAAATATATATATATTTATTAAATGTCAAGATATACATACTCACTCACACACACACACACACACACACACACACACACACAAATATATATACACACACACACACACACACACCAAATGGTTTTTCCTTTTTTTATTACTCATGGATAAAATCATTATTTTGAAAAATGGTAGACTGTGTTCATTGAAACTATGAACTTGAAGGTAAATTACCAGACATCATTAAAGCAGTGAACAAAATTTGCTTTGATCTGAAGTTCAGTGGATTATCTTAGAAAGTTGTTGAGAATATTCAAACTGATGAAGAATTACAAACAAATGGCTCAAGATTATAATCCTTTTCACTTACAACTCAAAGGCTTGACAAAACCCAAAAATGCCAATAAATAATTAATTATGAATAGTTTTAAAAATTGTATCTTCCATTAATATAGAGTTTATTATGGCATCACCTTTACTTTCAAGCAGCTTCAGCTACACTTTTTTCCACAAGGAAAAATTTGCCTTCTTTTATTTAATTGTATACACTGAATTTATTTTCTTTATTTCGAGTGACAGCAAAAATTAAAACCATGAGAGAGTTTGATATTTCAGTATGTATGTATAAAATAACTTTCAAAATTTTAATAGTCACCATCCATCCATCCACAAAAAAATCAGGATAAATTTGATCATAAATGCACCAAGAGAGAAAACATCTCCTAGTTTGCTGTCTTTTATAAATAAAAAATAATTTTTGCCTTCACAGTTCAGTAAAGTTAATCCAGACACATGGCATCCAAAACATAACTAAAATAATTTATGCCGTTCTTCACTGTTCAGTGAAATAAATCCAGACATGTGGGGTCAAAAATATAATTACAAAAAAAATATAATTTTAATTTATTGTCTGTCTCAAGATGGATAATTACAAGGTGTTAAAAGGAGGTAAAGTCCTTATTGACATTTTAAAATATAATATTCATTTTTAAGTTTGAAATTTCTGGAGCAAGATAAGAACTTTTAAAAATATAGAAAATCTACAGGTAGAAATTCGAGTTTTCATGATAAAATTAAAGATATTTGTATCAAAACCAACTTAAATATAGAGGAAAGTGGTTTTATGACTAAACAAATTTGGTTTTCGAGGCAGTGTCAGTAATCAGCTTGCTGATATTGGGGAATCTGTACAAGAAACGAATATTTCCCATGGCTGTGAAGCAAGTTTCTTATCCAACAGCCATTCAATGATCTTAACTCCCAAAGTACAATGTGCTACTTTTAGCGGTATTAATCCTTCTAAGTTTGAGTTTAAGAATTTTATATCACAGTTTAACAACTGTACTAATTGCATCAATTCTAATAAAGCAAAACTAGTCCTGTTAAAGAGTTATCTTACTCTTCAGCTAATCTTTTGCATCTAACCTTAGATGACAATTACAAAGTAGCAGTAAGTCTGTTAACAAAAGAATTTTTGGATGTGCCTTTTATAATTCATGAGATAGTCAAACAAATAAATAATAACCATTTTCCTAAATATGGCCCTGATTTTGTAATTGTTAAACAATATCTTGTCAGAGTTAAGAACCTCATATGGAAAAGGAAATCATACACAGGGTAGGTAGCAGTTATCCTTCCTTAAGGGATATATTTGAGAATTATAATGAAGCCATCCACACATTAACAAAGAATAAGGTGCCCTTCCATGTAAATGAGAAACATACTAAAAGTAATAAATCCAGTGAAAAGGAAAATAATGATGCAGCATTACAGAATTTCACCATTAGCTCTAATGGGATGCCCATTGGAAGTGTATGAACCTAGAGTAGCCATTATGCTACTAATACGAATGAGGAAAACAATGCTACCTATAATGAAAGTCACATTATATTGGGGCACTGAGAAAGTCTCTATAAAGTGCTTATTGGATACAGGTAGCCAGCAGTCATATTTCTCTAAAGGAATATTAAAGAAATTATAATGTCCTGATTTGAGTCTGAATCCTGTCAATTTCCAAGTAAAAAATTATTTATGTGTTTCCAAAAAGAAATTACATAAAGTCGTATTGGAAGTAAATGTGGGCAAAGAGAGATCATTTCCTATTCTCATTTTGTTAGAAGACAAATTTAATATTCGATTCAAGTTCAGTGACTTCAGACCAATTTGACTAAATTAAATTACATATTGGCCTTTTGTCATAATAACGATAGTAATCAAATAAACATTCAAGTAATTCTGGATGTAGACATTCTCCAACATATGGAAGATACCAAAATTGTTAAATGCATAAATGGCTTGGTGTAGAAAAAGCCAAATGGAATTGCCCGTTTTGGAAACAATCTAAATTTTCTATATAAACATCAAATTACCCCAGTGGGACCTGAAGCTTCCAACATTGTAGAAAACTAACATACTATAATTTTTGGACATTCTTTGTGTCCTGAACAACAAAAAAAATTGGAACCAAAGTCCACTTACTCCAAAACATTCCCAGAAGTCTTTGAATTATCTAACATTGAAATTTAGCGACTCCCCAAATAAAGAAAATGTTTGCTGTGGATTCATACACATCATCTTTTGATGAAGATGAACATTATCAGTGATTATGACAAAAACAAAATAGATAAAACAATAGAGTTCAAAGACAATTCACATTTCATGGAATTATCCTGGTACAAAGACAGGATCAAATCAGTGCCATCTAATTATCAAGTTGCCTTGAAAGTGCTTGATAGAACTATGCATTCTTTAGAAAGGAAAAATTTAGCTACAGCTTATAACAATATATTTCAGCTACAAGAGACCAAAGAGATTATTGAAAGATTTTTGAAAATATATTTGGATTCCTCACAGACCGATTTTCAAATCTGATGAACAAGTAGCTTCAGACCTCTAACATATTGGGGTAAATTTGATATTGTTAACACCCAATGCCTTTTTTACATCCTAATGTTAATGGAGAAATTTCTGTGAAAACTGATCCTGGAGGATCTCCTAAAATGAAACCTTCCAGGTATCAATTATTAGATGCTCTCACAAGAAATTGTTAACTAACTTCAAAGAATTATGGAATGAGGAATATCTCTTGAGTCCAAGAGAAAGTTGCAAGGATCTACATGATATGGATTTTAAAATAAAATACAGGTACATGATATAGTATTAATTAAAAATCCTACAAAAGCCACACCATTCTGTAAACTTGACAGGGTGACCAAAATTTTCTCTGGAAAAGATGAAAATGTATGTTCTGTACACATAGCTAGATGAGATGCATCTTATGAAAATCATAATATACTTGTGTTTCCAATGGAACTTTCCTTGACACAACAAAGTCCTGAGTATGACTTTACACTGCAGCCACCCATTTAATGGTCACTTTTGACCACTAGTCCTGCATTCATTTCTTAATGATCATTTACGATCAATCCTGTCCTGAGTAAGACTTTAAACTGCATTCATCCATTTCTTATGGTAACTTTTTGACCACTTACTGGCCATTCCAGTTCTGGCCAACTTTGTCCTAAATTGAAACTTTATCATGGCCAATCTTTTCTGGGCCAAACTTGTTCTTGAGCAAGACATTAAACTGTATCTATAGGAAAATGATAATTACTACTGAATAAAGATTGAATTTTGAATTCAAAATTTTCAGTTATGGAGAAGAAATTACAGAAACAAAACAAGTGCTAAGATGCAAGTAAGAAAACAATTTACTTCACCACACAAAAACGTTAAATTTAAAATATTTCATTTTTATAAAATGCATAGTAATACTTGAAATAATGCAAAATTTACTGTTCATAATGGAAAAACTCAACCAGTATTGTCAGCAACAGTTTTTCTGTTCATCATTATTTTCACTTTAAGGATTCTATCTGGAATTCATATACAAAGTACTGGTTAAGACTTTAAACTAAATCTGGTGACGAGGCCCTGCTTGCAGGACTTGGGGAGTGTGGAGTCACACCTTAGTTATCATTACTCCCAGGTCCAATCTGACTCTGAGTGGTAGTATCTGATAAGACATTGAACTGTTTATATACAATCCATTGGAAAATCCAACACACAGTAGAATTTCTTCATGGCTGAAGTTTACCAAGAAATGATCCAACAAAATGTATAAACAACATCAACAG